AGTTTATTTGTTCATAGCTAAGCTTCTCAAATGAATTCTCTGTCAGCATATTTCATATTCCCTTTTCATTCATTCTGCAAGCCATTCCAACCTAGCACCCCTGCCCACCACTCCACCTTAGCTACTCCATAACTGGTAGCTCATGTCGTCAGTGACCTCCATGCCATTCATTTCAGTAGATTTTATGTCCTTATCATGCTGGACTGTTTAGAAGCTTTGGCCATAGTTAGGTGTTCCCTCAACATTGCCCTTTGCTTGGCTTCTTTGGCATGAAGGTCACCTGGTGTTCCTACTACTTCCCTGGTAGCCCTTCCTTCACATTCTCTGACTGTTATGACATCTGTCCTAGGGATTCTTGTTCACACTTGCTGCCATGTCTCTCTGGCAACTTCATTCACTCCTATGGCTTAAGCTATAATACAGTCCCACCATATGCTTGTCCATTGTGAGGCTGGCACACACCTCTGTCTCAGCATGCCCATAATTATACCCACAGCCTTCACCACTCCCCACAGTTCTGCTGTTCCTCTCACGCTTCCTCTCTCAGGAAGTAGCTTTTCTACCCACCAGGTAAACCATGACTTCTCACTTTTCCATATCTATCCAGTTTTGTTTGTTTTAAAAATCATAGCAAATCTATACTCTAAAGGCTTTTTCATTCCACCCCTCTCCTTGTCTGTGCCACCATCATCTCTTGCCTGGAGCATAGAAGTAACTCCCCACTGGTCCATAAGCATCTACTTTTGCCACTCTCAAATCCCCAGAATAGTTAAGGGAGACTTCGTGGAGAACGAAAGTCTACTTTTGTCATCCCCTTGATTAAGACACATCAATAACCTTCTCATTGCTGTCAGGATACAGTCCCTGAACATACCTTCTAAGGCCTTGCCTAAGCCAGTCTTTGTTTATCTTTCTTTCTCCTTTAGTTTCCTCTGAAAGAATCTCTTGACTCCTTTTTCAAGTCTGATTTGATAGCACGTTGGAAAAAGGGCTTTCCTTGACTCTTTACATGAGATTAGGGGAATGTATATGCATAAGAGCTTTCCCTTTGTTAGTGTTCATTACACTTAAAATTGTTTAAACACTTGGTGTTTGGACATATTTTGAGTCCCTTGAGAGCAAGGATCATACCCCTTTTGTTCACTCTCCTGTCCTCAGTACCTGACACCAATTGAATGCTTAATAAATACTGATTAAATGAATAAGGAATAAACGAATATCTTCAGAGCATGACCTTGCATTTTAACTTCCCAATTGCAACATGACATTTGGAAATCCTAAGAAAGGTGTGTTTTATGTATTGGTAATTACATGTTGTAATAAGGTACAACGAAAAGAAACTAAAAAGAGCAAGGTGCCTTCTCTTACTGCTGCTTCCATACACAGTTTACAAAGGTCAAATCTGTATGAGGAATCAGCTAAGAGACTACGTCAATAGGGGACATATTCTTTTCATAAAGCCTTCGTATTAAGGACAAAGCAATGAGAGCCTGTAAAGTGTTCTTGTGCTTCCTAATTCCTAAAAATACTTTAATATTGCTCTCTGCATACATATGGGGAAAAAATTGATCCAAGCAATGGATTAAGACAAAGATGACACTCTAGTTTACTCATCTTAAATTACCTTTATTAATTTTTAAAGTTATAAAACTGTGTTATATACCTCCAACCTGTTTTCATGCTCATATACTTGCATACAAAACCATATGCAGATGTCTGAGAGAACTTAGTGTTTGCTTATTTTTTAAAAATAGCATTCACAGTGTCTGTTACTCTGCAACTGGATTGTTTTTTGGATAGTAATGATGAACATCTTTTCCAGGTGAACAGACACACATCTTATTCATTGATTTTAAACTATAAAAACTTTTCTATGATAATGCTAACCACAATTTATTTAATAGTACTCTCATTGGTAAGCATTCAGATCATCTTCAGGGCTTTGCTACTACAAACAATACTGCAACAAATACTATTACACAGGTATCCTTCCACAAAACCACCTTTGTTTCTAGAGGACATCTTCTCAAAGTGAGATTGCTGAGTCAGAGTATATGTATATTTGTGCGTATAATTTTTTTTTTAATTAATTTATTTATTTTGTTATCATTAATCTACAATTACATGAAGAATATTATGTTTACTAGGGTCCCCCCTTCACCAAATCCCTCCCACAAACCCCATTACAGTACTGTCCATCAGCGTAGTAAGATGCTATAGAATCACTACTTGTCTTCTCTGTGTTGCACAGCCCTCCCCATGCCCGCCCCACCATTATACATGCTAATCGTAATGTCCCCTTTCTTTTTCCCCACCCTTATCCCTCCCTTCCCTCCTTTTCTCCCCTGTCTCTTTCCCTTTGGTAACTGTTAGTTCATTCTTAGGTTCTATGATTCTGCTGCTGTTTTGTTCTTTCAGTCTTTCTTTGTTCCTATAGTCTTTGGGTTTGAGGTGAGTCTCTTGTAAGCAGCATATGGATGGGTCTTGCTTTTTTATCCATTCTATTATTCTGTGACATTTGATTGGTGCATTCAGTCCATTTACATTTAGGGTGATTGTTGAAAGATATGTACTTATTGCCATTGCAGGCTTTAGATTCATGGTTGCCAAAGGTTCAAGGTTAGCCTCTTTAGTGTCTTACTGTCTAACTTAACTCACTTATTGAGCTATTTTGAACAATGTCTGGTCATTCTTTATTTTTCTCCCTTCTTATTCCTCCTCCTCCATTCTTTATATGTTGGTTGTTTTATTCTGTGCTCTTTTGTGCTTCCGTTAACTGCTTTTGTGGGTAGTTGATTTTATTTTTTGCCTTTAGTTAGTATTTGGTTGGTCTGCTTTCTTTGCTGTGATTTTATTTTCTCTGGTGACATCTATTTAGTCTTAGAAGTGCTCCCATCTAGAGCAGTCCCTCTAAAATACCCTGTAGAGGTGGTCTGTAGGAGGCAAATTCCCTCAACTTTTGCTTGTCTCGGAATTGTTTAATCCCTCCTTCATATTTAAATGATAATTGTGCTGGATACAGTATTCTTGGTTCAAGGCCCTTCTCTTTCATTGCATTAAATATATCATGCCATTCTCTTCTGGCCTGTATTGTTTCTGTTGAGAAGTCTGATGATAGCCTGATGGGTTTTCCTTTGTAGGTGACCTTTTTCCTCTCTCTAGCTGCCTTTAAACCTCTGTCCTTGTCCTTGATCTTTGCCATTTTAATTATTATGTGTCTTGGTGTTGTCCTCCTTGGGTCCTTTCTGTTGGGACTTCTGTACACTTCCATGGTCTGATCGATTATTTCCTCCTCCAGTTTGGGGAAGTTTTCAGCAATTATTTCTTCAAATACTCTTTCTATTCCTTTTTCTCTCTCTTCTTCTTCTCGTACCCCTATAATGCAGATATTGTTCCTTTTGGATTGGTCACACAGTTCTCTTAATATTGTTTCATTCCTGGAGATCCTTTTATCTCTTTCTGCATCAGCTTCTATGCATTCCTGATCTCTGGTTTCTATTCCATCAATGGCCTCTTGCATCTTATCCATCTGTTTATAAATCCTTCCAGAGATTGTTTCATTTATGTAATCTCCCTCCAGATGTCTGTAATCTCCCTCCGGACATCATCCCTTAGCTCTTGCATATTTTTCTGCAGCTCCATCAGCATGGTTATGTGCTTTATTTTTAATTCTTTTTCAGGAAGACTGGTTAGGTCTATCTCCTTCTCAGGGTTTGCCTCTGTGATCTTGGTCTGTATCAATTTCTTCTGCCTTTTCATGGTGATAGATATATTTGTGGGGAGCTGGCATGTGTGTTGGGTAAGAGAAAGTCCCTTCTTGCCAGTTTGTGGCCTTCCTCTCCTGGGAGAACAACGGCCTCTAGCAGCTTGTGCTAGGCAGCTGCATGCAGACGGGGCTTCTGATCTTGCCCAGCTGCTATGGAGTTTATTTAGCTCTGCAGTTGCTGTGGGCGTGGTCTGCCTCAGTCTGCTGCTCCAATATGGCGGAACCGCATCAGAGGGGGAACAGGCGGGAGGCTGTTTATCGGGGTGAGGTGCCTCCGAGCTGCACTGCGTTCCCCGTGATTCCCAGTTGCTAGACTAAGTGTCCCAGGGCATTTCCGTCCAACTGTGGGGTCCCTGTCCCTTTAAGACTTTCAAAAAGCACTCGCTTTTCTTTGTCCCAGGTGTGTCGGCTGTGGGGACCCACTCACAGGTCTTACTGTCCTGTTTCCTTAGTTTCCAGCACCCCGCACGCACTGTGTGTCTGCGCTCTAGTGCAGATGGCTGGGACTGGGTGTTTAGCAGTCCTGGGCTCCCTCTCCCTCCTGCTCTGACCCCTCTCTTCCCGCCAGGAGCTGGTGCTCGGGTCCCGCCAGGCCAGAGCTTCTATCTTACCCCCTTTGCAAGGTGCTGGGTTCTCGCAGGTGTGGATGTGGTCTGGCTGTTGTCCTGTGTCTTCTGGCCTCTCTTTTAGGGAGAGTTGTATTTGTTGTATTTTCAAAAATGTATGTGGTTTGGGAGGAGATTTCTGCTGCCCTACACATGCCGCCATCTTGGTTCTCTTGTATGTATAATTTTTAATGTTAATAGCCATTGAGTATGTTCCCAAATGATTGAAGAATTTCATTTTTCCAAAACAGCTGTCTTATCCTCATGGTGACATTCTGTCAGTAGTCCACTTCCTCCAGGTCCTGGGTTAAGCTGTCCCTACCACATCTTCTGCTGTGAGGAAGCCATGGTGACTGACGACTGACTCACTGCAGACCTATTGCTCTCTACCCTTAGCTACTTTCCACATCTCCCACTCAATAATCCTTGGACTTCTGGATTATGTCCATGCCACAGGGGTGTCTTGGGAGTAGTACTGGTCAAATGCTTCCATTCCATTTCTCTGCCTGACCCTTCCATGGAGATTTGGAGTCACTCTGTGACTCCAAGTACTAAACTAAAGTAGCTCACAGGCCCCCTCTCCACACTCATTCAGAAGCAACTAACCACAAGCCCTTGTTCTCTTGTAGAATCCAGTGAACAGGAAGACAAAAGTGAAGGTGCCTCAGGGGAGACACCCTCCCAGCCTTATCCTGCACCAGTGTACAGTCAGCCTGAGGAGCTGAAGGAGCAGATGGATGATGCAAAACCAACGAAACCTGAAGAGAATGAGGACTCGGACCCATTGCCTGATAACTGGGAAATGGCCTATACAGAGAAGGGCGAAGTCTACTTCATTGAGTGAGTTCCATACATTTCCTCCAACATTGCCATAAAGTTCATGGCAGTATATAAATGATGCAGCAAATGAGCATGTGGTGAAAGTAAAATATTTTTTTTTTGTTTCTGGTAATAGCTTCCTTCTTTGTGGGAGAAGAATGGGATGGTGCCTTAATGCAATTAAGGATCCTAGATTACAGCTATAAATCAAAGAATAAATTAAACAATTCCCCTGGAAAATGTGTAGCTATCATGACTAAAAAGGCAAATCTCCATTTGATATTATTGTTGAATTAGAAATAGTCTACAAGGCATGGGTAAATGTTTGCTCCTTGCTTCCAAGTCGTCCATGTAGTCCAAATGAGGTACCCCTGTATTTTTAGTCAGATTGCCAGAAATGTTTACCATCATGTTCAGTGATGCAGCTATTTAGAGCAAAATACTTGCTTGCCAGTCACAAAAGGAAATGTATTAAACATATACCCCTGAGGTCAGATGTCAATAAAATCATTTGTTTTTGTATAGTTCTTCATACCAATTTTAATTAAATTCCTCTCTATTTGCTGCTTACTGTTTTTATGACTTGCTGCAGAAACTGAAATGCTAATCCTGAATTCCCTGGTCATACTTAACTCAACCTAATCTTTTCTTTCTTTTGGAATTTTTTTTTCCAAGATGAATTTTTTTTATATATTTTATTAATAATATTGAATAGCTTTCCTTTTCATTATCCTTTAAGAGAAGAACTTTTTTAAACAAAATCTTATGTTGAAAATCTTAGCACAAAATTATAATTGTTGATGTGCATAGGACAATTAAAGTGTTCATCAGAAAGTAAAAAGTATTGTTAATGAACAACAACCCTTATTCCCTCAAAGTTTTATAAGACTCAAAGAGAAAAAATAATAGAATCTGAATCTTTCAGTTATGACAGATGATAAAAATAGGTAAACTCTGATTATTCAAGAAAAATATTAAAACTGGATTCCTTTTCCCAACCTGGGGTGATTTGTGACTTAGATCTCCATAGGCAGAATTTAGTTGTGAAATTGAAATGTTACCACATGCCAATATTTAATTCACATGTGAAGGTGGGAGCTTTGATGCATGTGGCCAAGGGAATATATAATGAGGTAATTACTTGGTGCCCTGCTTGACTCCAACATGGATGAGAAATGAATGTTTTGCAGAAAATGAATCACTACTATTCACTTTTTGACAAACCTTACAAGTTTAAAAAATGAATAAAAATATCTTACATCATTTCTTATTTTATCATCAATGACCCAAAGATATCTTTTATCAATTCATTTGAAAAGAAAAAGTCATATAGAATTTTTTAAATGCTCAAAAGCATTGATATCTAAAAAATAATTTTGTTATTGATAACTACAGCATGATACCATTGCAGACCAGAAGTCAATTTATAAATCCTGGGTGGGTGGGAGGTCACACATTAATATTCAGAACACTTGATGTTCAGAACAAGAATACAGTTAATATACACATTTTTGTGATATAGGGGGGATAAGGCTATGTGGAAATAATAAAAGGAAACAAGCATCAAAAGTTGATTAAATAACTCTTCCCTTTAAAATATTTTCAGTAAAGCAATTATAAAAACCCTTTTTTTGTGATTACAAAAGAAACTTTCCTCATTTAACAGAGTCAGGTTTAAGGATTGGAGAAAAGTGATTTTGGAATACAAGCTGTGCTAATGGTATATAGTAAATGATGAGGCTCTGTCAGAACTTGGGGCAATCTACCCAAATGATTCTGTTAATACTCCACTCAGTCATCCAGTGTCAGAAATCAAGGATTCATAAGATTTTGTCCCTGCTCTCAAATTTATTGTCATGTTGGGGAAGAGAGACAAATAATTATAAACAATTCATTTATGAGTTTTGTAATACTATTCAAAGAAGCCATGTTTAGCATAGACTGAAGAAATGAAAGGAGGCATCATAGAAAGGTAAGATAATGTTGATTTGAAAAGTTGGTGATATGTAGATAGAGCATTCCAGGGGTAGGAAATCCCATTACAAAGACCCAGTCCCTGGTGCATTGGGAACAGCGAGAAGACTCCCCTGTCTCTATGGGAAAAGGGTATGAGTTGATGAATCCTGTGAAATGATTGCTTAGTTTTCATTTGCTGGATCATTAGTGCTTCTGAGAGAAAAGCAGAGGGTTTGTTCGTTTGCCTTCTTATTATCACAGGGAAGGATGGGTGGATTTCCTAGGAGCAGAGATAGGTGGAGGTGGAAAATTAAGATTAAAAAGGAGGAGATAGTTTCATTCGTGGCAAGAAGCCAATGCCGAGGGAGACTCATCCGGAGGTTCAGGAGAAAGACGCCTGGAGTGAAGGCTGCAGCGGGAGAGGAAGGGCAAGGCGGTTAGCTGAGCGGGTACAGTGATGGTCTGCAAGGAGGCTGCTACCCGGTGTAGCATCCCTTGTCCTCCCTTCTTCCGGGACTGGTTTGAGGTCTAACTTTCCTTCCTTCAAAAAGGTTACCTTTGAATCTCTGCGATGAGCTCAGGTGCCACAAAGCAGGGGGAGTCTGTCTTTTTCATCCGGTCGCGCATTTTCACTCCATCAGCACATGTGCTGCAGTTTCCTTTCTCTCTGCCTGCTTTCACTCTGCTTTACTTTTCCCTCAGTTTTCTCTGATTTTCTCCTGGCTACTTTCAGGCTTTGCTCTGGAATGCCCCTTCCCTTCCCGACTACATTTGACAAAACCAGCATTTCAACCGACTGCCATTGATCTGTGAGCACCTTTGCTGTTGACAGTGCGCTGACTTCTTGTGTGAATGAAGTCTGTGAGGTATAGAAGCCCCTTGGAAACAGTCTGGTAGAGCAGGATGCTGTGACAGGAGAAGGAGCATGGTGGGACAATACGACTTCCTTGGGGCCTAAGCCATGACATGTCCCAGAATTTCTGGCCCAGAAACTTATAAAGCAAATTCTATTTGTAATATTAAAGTTAGCAGTCCTGACAGCACTAAATTATGTAATTATGTTTTCTACCTTTGCCTTGCATCTACCTACTACTTCAGCATTTTATTAAAAATAATAATAATAATAAGGGAGAAATGTGGGATTCACATATAAATGAAGTATAAAAATCAAGCAAATAATCATATCTGACTTGATTGTTTATAGTTCATGATGCATGATCAAAACTGAAAGTTTCTGTGATATGACTGCCCTTGCACTGTTCACCATGTAAGAACTTATTCACTATGTAAGGACTTGTTCACCATGTAAGAATTTGTTCATTATGCTTCAGAAGATTGGAGACTGTTGAGAATTAGGCTTGGGGTTGATTAATGATTGTGCATTGAGTCCCCTATACAGAATTTTATTGTTGTTAACAACCATTTGATCAATAAATATGAGAGATGCCCTCTCAAAAAAAAAAAAAGTTAGCAGTCCTGAAGTAAAGTCAGGTAAAGAAAGAAGATGAAAAGGAAGGGTAGAGTAAGTTCAGAGGAAGGTAAAAAAGTGGGAGGAAAGGTAGAAGAAAAGGAAAATTTTATCTGTGAGGTGAGAGCTGACATCGGTGAAAACTTCCCTCCCATACACACATTCAGAGAGTCACTAAGAGTAATGGAAATACCTCCGCTGGTAAGTAGGTAAGACCCCTCGTTATGCTGTCCTGAATTCTGTCTCCTGTGAAATGAAGATTGTGATGAAACAGAAAATAAGTGAAACAGAGAACGACCCTGTGGTTCTCTGCATAAAAATTTTAAATATGTATATGTCCATATTTAGTTTTGAATAGGTCAAGCCTACCTATGCTGAAATGTTTGTTTAAATACATATTTTTTAAATGCATATATGAAAACATGGGTTTTGAATTAGGGTAAAAAGTAATGTCATTATGTTGTCTTCTATGCAATGTTTTAAAACAATTACTGATTTATTGAGTATTACAACATAGTTTATATGTCCCAGTACTTTACAAGTTCTGCATTTAGAAGATGGTTATTTTCATTGTTCTTAATACTGAACACAGGAGCCCACTGTATTTCCCACAATCTACAGAACTGCTTCCTTTGATGAATGAAAAAAGCAGATTCCTTTCATCATTTTCAGTGGTATTTAATGGGAAAAGGCAAATATCTGAGAAAGTATTTTAAACAACAGTATTTTAGATTGTGAGTAAATACATTATTCCTAACGTACTTAATTGCAATAGTAAATGTCTTACAATTAACCTCTTTCAAAAGACTTTCAAATGCATAATATTGTTTAAAACCAGTGGTTTCCTTAACTCTTAACATCATCCTCATAAATATTATATTTTAAGATAGACAGTATGTTAATTACAAATTCAAATCATTAATAATAGTTACCACATATCAAGTGCCTACTTTTTCAGGCTGTGTTCAGCTTACCTTAACAGTAATAGCTAACATATTAAGCAGTTATGCTGTGTTCATTTAATTCTCACTTGAGGAAACTGAGGCTTGTAGGTGTAAGTAACTTGCCCGTGGTCAGATGATCAAGAATTGACAAAGCCAGGATACTCTGATTCTATTTGCTGGATGTGTATTTATTGAGCACATGCTATGTGTAGAGAACCATTTTAACCCCTGGGGATAGTCAATGAAACCAACAGGATTTGTACTTTCATGGGATGTAGTCTGTTTCCAGGGTCCTTGCTCTTGACCATTTTGCTATGGTGCCTACTTTACATATATTATATCCTCACCACCCTATAAATGTTGGTTGTTTCCCATTTTATAGATGAGTTTCAGAGACTGAGAACAAATTAACATTCCCAAGGTCTCACAGTCCTTTCACCACGCATAGTCATTGCCATTAGCCCATACACCCTCCAGTATATAAACAAACATGGGCTAAAATAAAAGTAAACTTTTATATTACAAGTAGTATTTGTTTATAAGTTTCTTGGCCAGAAATTCACTATTCCAGGGGCTAAACGTTCCATAAAGCAGAGCTGCCACAGGGTTAATCTGGATTGACATGCTTTGGGAATCCCATTAAATTACTTCTT